GTCGCTGAACTCCCATGTAGTTGACCGTGGTTCGAGTCCTGGACCCTGTGGCTTAAACTCACACCGGGTGCATGTGCATGCACGCCCAAGATCCTGAGAGGAGAATGGAGGAGAAGGGATTGTGAAATTGCCATCCCCCCAAGTGGTGATTTCTTGCTTTGTGTCTTTCTTTGTCTCTCTGTCTTTCTGGCAAGCACATGCATCCTATAGCAAAAACCTCTCCAAAAAAAAAAGTTTCCCTCTTTGCTATGGGTTGCAATAAGTCCACTTCCACATCATCTTTGATTTGGTTCCTCCCTGGTTTCTGGGACAGCTGCAAGAGAGTTAGGAATTCTACCTTTCAGGGCCATGATTTGCAGCAGAGAAGCGATGCTGGAACTTGAGAGACACAGGAGGTGGGATGGGGGTGGGGGGTAGAAGGGAGGCGCTGGGGGAGGAGTAGAGTTTAAGGAGTTAAGCATGAAAAAGCATAATTACCTGGTGTGTTTAGAAAACTAATTTTCCATAATAGTTCAGGTATTTAGGGTAAATTGGGGATTGTTGAAGGTAAAACAAAAACAGTACCAGATTTTCTTTTGAAATTTGATTTATCACAGAATAGGGCACAATTTTTTTAAAAAAATAATTTTTTCTGCTTCTCTACCACCTGAAAGGTCTTGGACAATTGTGCCTGATCTATAGGAAGGACGGTTTATTTGTGTATAGAACAAATTGCCTGCAAGTCTCTGTCACCTTTTGTGGACAGCCCCTAGAGGTGTTGGTGGCGGCTATGTGTATTCAGGTGACTCAGGGTGCAGGGGACGTTGGCCTGGGAGGTGGAGAACACAGGACAAAAGTCATGAACAGGACCAGGGCACCCCTTATAGGAAGCCAGGCAGATGTACTGGCATGTTCACAAGCATTTTCACAAATATGCTTGTCATGTTATACTTAGGAAAACTTTTTAGTGAGACTTTTTTTTTTTTTTCTAACACATCTGCCATTCCTGATCTCTCTTCTACCTCATTTCTTTTTTTGAAAGAAGCTAAGATTACTATTTTTTTAAAGTTCTTTTTTTTATTTGTGATAGAGAATGTATGTGTATGCTTGAGAGAGAGAAACACTGTCAACAGGGTCTCTTCACTCTGTGATCCCCCTTCCCTAGCTTTCTAGCTCACCAGGATCTTGGTCACATGCATTTATACCTGGCATGTTTCCAGACCGACCTGGAATCCAGACCTGTAGTTGGCCATGTGGCTTCCAGCACTGTAGTTCAGTCTGCTATTGACTGTGCCATGCCACCAAGCTAGGCTCCTAATTTCTTAAGAGTGCCCTTGGGCATTTTTATGATAAGGGTAATCTGCAGCCATAAAGATAAGACAGTCTAGAAACACTTTTTTTTTTTTTTAATTATTATTATTAAATTTGTAGACCTTGACCTCTTCTCTTCTGTGGGGAATCACCCAAAGGATTTTCAGTTGCAAGATTGGAACACTTTCTCCTAGATGATGTGCAGCTTGGAGGTTCATTTACAGAACTGTTGATAATGCCTAGAGCTTGGTGGCAGCACTGTGGTTCAAGTGCCTTTTTTGGGTGCTGGTTTATTGGTTTTGTTCTTTTATTTTCATTAAGCTGACAGCTAAATCAGAACTGATCTATCAGTTCGTGGACTCTTTAAGACAAGCTGTGGAGAGCTACAAGCAGCGGATGGACTGGCTCACCAGCAAAAGCCGGCAGATTTTTGGTGTCATCTTGGAACAGTGCGTCACCATAGTGCTGGATTTGGGTGGTGTTCTGGACAAGGAACTTGATCTGTGTCGAGACGCTCTAGTAATGGTCCTCCAGGAGCAGGTGGCTCATATAACCAAGTTCAATATTATATGGTGAGTTCTCACAGGAAGGGGGTATTTCAGTGAAACTTCATAGTGATTTGTACATATTTGGGGAAGTAGCATAGCTAACTTAGTTAGGTCTATGGTGAGGGATGAGGTGTTATTTTGTAATCTCTTAGAATATACAAGTAGAAAACTCTCAATTAATGGTCTTTGCTTTGCTTTGCTGAGGACATCTTAGTTTTCACATTAAAAAAATTTAGAAATCTCAAGGCATGGGAAGGTCCAAATAATAGAATATGAGTTATCTTAAATATATATTTAAGGCCATAAATATCTTCACTCATTTTAGATTTTGACTTGGGTCATGAACTCTGAGGTCACAGATTTTACTGTTTTCCCCGTCTGAGTTTGCAATTCAAGTTGACCTCTCTTGTAAGTTGACCCTTTTAAGCAGAACAACAGGTGTCTGGCTTTATAGAGCTTCCCATATTTCAGAGTTCTCACAATCAATTATTTATGGATTCTGGGATTCAAGAGAGTTAGACTTCTCATCTAGAATATTGGTTTCGTCTCCCTGATAAGAAACATCTGGAATGGGGGGAGTGGGTGAAATCAACTTAATTGAGTTTTTAAATAAAATACTTTTAGCTCAATAGAAGACAGCTTTGAGGACAATGCCTAATTATGTTCTATCCCAGATTCGTCTTTTAGTCTTGAGTATATTATTTAATTTTTAATTTTAATTTTTAAAGATTTACTTATTTAATTTTATTAATTATTATTATTAAATTTGTATTGGGCACATGCACTCAGCAGAGAGAGAGAGAGAGAGAGAGAGAAAGAGAAAGCTGCCAGATTTGGGACTGGAACTGCAGTCAGCCATGTGGGAGTCCAGCGCCCAAACCACCAAGGCATCTACTGGCCCCATTATTATTATTTTTAAATTTGCTATAGGGCATGTGTGCTCACCAGAGAGAGAGAGAGAGAGAGAGAGAGAGAGAGAGCAAGTGAGCTGCCAGGTCCAGGACCTTAACCATGGTCGGCCATGTGGAAGTCCAGTGCCTTGACCACCACACCACCTGTTGGCTTCTTTAGGAATATTATTATTATTATTATTATTATTATTTTGAGAGAGATATTTTTTGCCTTAGGGCATGTGCGCCCGCTAGAGAGACAGAGACATAGGGAAAATGAGAAATCACCCTCCCTCCCCCTGGGGGGATGGCCATGCTGCGATCTATTCTCCCAGGATCCTTGGCATGCATGCACACATGCCTGAAGTGTTGCAAGCTACCAGGTCTGGGACTCCCATGCGAACTGCTGTCGACTATGTGGGAGTCCAGCGATATAGCCATTACGCTAACTGCTGGTCCCTAGGTATATTATTGAAGGAATTAAGTGCTGAGGTCTGCAATGCTTTTGCTTTTTTGGTATTGTGTGCTCTGGCATACATTCCAGTCATCCAGGTTCTCTACCCAGAGAAGCCACACAGAGGGGAACAGTGGGAGCCAGCCCAGCCTATGGAGGTGGGTTACAAGTGACAGTTTATTTGCCATTTATAATGGCTGATTTATTTGCCATTATAAACTTGGAGATAAGTGCAAATGGTTTTTTTTTTTTTTTTTTTTTTTTTTGGGCGTTTCCATTAGTCACTTTCAACACAAATTACTGAATCACATTTTTCTGAGGATTTAAAAACCAATGCTCTGCTGAACTCAAAACAATACAATTTTTGATCCAACAAAGGAACTGATGGGACTCTCTCAGGACCATGAAAACAATGAAAGCATTAGGAATTAAATTATAGAGTAATAAAAGTGCTGCCAGTTTGAAGATGTTAATACTGTGAATTCTTGTACATTTGCTATTAAAGTTTATTTTTTGAGAGAGAGGGAGATGCCCAGCAGGGTCTTCACATCATAATCCACCCCCAGTCTTACCTGACCTGGGTTGTGGGCCCGTGTGCAGACCTGGCATGCTCAGGGTGGTTCCAGGATGAACCCAGGGCCTTTCTCATATGGCTTATGCTGTGTTAATTACCACTCTGCTACCACCTGGCCCCCATTTTTGAGACGTTAAGATTTTCATATGAGCCTTGTTTGTCCTAGCCACTGCATCTTATGGAAGGTGATGGTGCTTTGGGAACCCATTTTGAGTAGCTCACCCACTTTGCTGGTAACTTGACAAGGCTGGGAGCTGTGTTTTCTTTTTCAGCTCTGAGGATGTTTGGTAGCTTCAGTCTGAGGGTTGACACTCCCCTGTTAGCACTGATCACTGCCCACCTACTATTCCATGTGATCCCTTTCAGGATTTCTCAAGAACCTGTGAAATGGCAGGAAAACGCTACTCCTGTGACTGAAGAGTCCATCACTGCTGCCGTAAGTTGGCTTGAGAAGCTGACTTTTGAGCCAACTGTGAGTGAGGTTAGCTCCCTGGATGCTCTGCTGGAAGCTGGGAGAGACACAACTGTAAGTGTGCATCGCTGGCCCCAGGTCACAAAGGTGGCCGCAGACTCAGCCCTTCACGCTCAGCGCCTTCACACTGCCTTCAGTTGATCGTGGCCCCTCGCAGCAGCATCTCAGAGACCCCTCGCTGGCACTGGAGAGCCTCATAAGCCATAATACTGTTCACTTCTGATTTTGTAACCGATTGAGAAATAACTTAAAGGCCCCAGGTGGTGGGGTGGGAGGTTCAAATAGCAGCTTTGGTGATGGCAGGGGTGGGCCATTCTGGATGAGACTCCTGAATGCCAGAACCCTGAGCCTGTTTGGGCTTCCCCTAGGGGAAGACTCTTATTTAGGCAGTGCCAGGAGAGCCAAGTGCTTGCTCACAGGCACTGATCATCAAGAAGGGATGAGGAGTGGGGCAGTAGTCACACGCTAACACATGAATTCACCTCTTGCTTTCCTTCCAATGACATTAATGAGCTCACCTCATGGAAGGGGGCAAGGTTGGAAAACTCCCAATTAGAACTCCAAGGATGAGGAAGTAGGGTTTTCCCCACAACCATGTTCTGCATCTTTCCTGATTCCTCTTCCTCACAGATGAGTCTATTATGTAATTTCCGAGTGACGCATATCCAGGCTGACGAGTCCATCCATTTTTGAACATTAATGTATTGAAATATGCATTTTGACAGGGACCATTTCGAAATAAAACTTTACTTGGGAGAAGTGATTAAATGGTACTGATTCAAGTCTCTTTTAGCCAGAGGGTCTGTTTCTTTGAGAGACTCTAGTGACGGGGCGTTAGTGGTGGTGGCCAGCTAGTGGGGAAGTGCTAGCTGGGCAAGGGTTGATCCTTTGGCCAGCCACAACACACCAGGTGGGGGAGGTCTTCTTCCCCTTAGGATATAGATACTTAATACTTGCTTCTTCTGTTGTGGGAGCCGGGGATTTCTGAAGGTTTCAAGCTTTATCGGCTGCATTCAGAAGTCTCTTCTTGTGGAAAGAGGCCGTGACTGGCACGTTGAAAGGCTAGCTCCCAGTGGTCTCTGGCCTGTGCTTATCAATATAGAGGATGATGATTTGAAATTGGAAACACATTGTTTTTTCCTCATGAAGCCAGAAAACAAGTGTTTTCCATTAGGCAGGAACTGAATACTGGCTACTTTGTTCCTTGGCTCCTCTTCCAGTTTGTTTTGACATCTGTAAAATTTAAAGTGTCTGGACACCTTAATGAGCATTTAAGAAGTGGAGCATCCCAGGCTCCCAGATGTATGTGCATGTGCACACAAGTGTTTCTCGTTAGCCTGGCTATTCTGTTAGTCTGTTAGTCTGGCTATTCTGGTCACAGCTAACTCTGGCCACCTGATGTGACTGTTAGATCTCCCAGTACCCTCACTTTTCCATTTTCTTCCTTCTGGTCTGTGCCTCTCCTTTCTCTGGAGATCATCCCTGGCCCAAGAAATAAGGAGCAATTGAGTGAGTTCCAGGGATGTCCTATGGAAGGGGAAGAACCAAGAAAGAAGCTTCCCAGACACCAAACTGGGAATACAGCTGGGAAACTCTTGAGGAGAGATTGTGCAGTACAGGAAATGCACAGCATATCCAAACCCTGAGGCCCTGCCTAGACCCCCTATCTGGGGGTCCTCCTAAGGAAAAATCTGGTAGATGCAACTGCTTCATATATAAGACGGCAATGCCCTTTGCTTTAGGAGGAGTGAACAAAAGCATGCATGCACGTGTGGAGGGGGGGAGCCGTGTTCTCAGAGGGGCCTGCTCCTCTGCCTTGTGCTCCTCTTGCCTGCCCCTCTGGGTTTCGAATCTATCCATTTAGCTGCAGTTTCTCATGGGTAGAAAGATATAAGGCTTAAGAAATTTTTGAACAGTAAATATAAACTTTTAAGACTTTTCCTTCTAAAGATAACCTCCTTTAGTTTGGCATCTCCCTCCATGAGTAGGTGATGAGAAGAGCCAAGAAAGTGGGTATTGTCTTATGTCCAAAAATGAACATGCAAGTCCAATTTTTGTGTCAAGCTCCCATGAGATATAAGGGCTGAATGAGGGGCTTGGTCATGGTGAAGGAGGATGCCCAGAGGCCACTGGGCTCCTCCAGGGTCAGGCTTTGTGATCACAACTGGAACAGGAAGACCTAACAAACGAAAGACAGCCGAGGGTGAGCCTTCAATACTAAGAGGAGCCCAGGCAGAGACTGTGGGTCTGTTTCCATCGTGGCTCTAAGAACAGCTTTTGAAGAGCACTAGTGGTGGATGACTCACGTTGTGTCTCACGTAAAAGGACCTGGTTTGTGGGAGGAGCAGCATGGGGGTATTGAGGGAATGGTTGGCATGGGGCATCAGTGTCCTCAGAGCCTAGATGCTCTGACCTGCACAGTGTGTATACTTGTCAGTGTCCTCTGGTTCTAGGACACGTATCTTTTGGAAGTTGGTAGCTTCCCTGGCCTTTACAAGGAGGACTGGTGTGTCTACATCCCCGAGGCATAAAAGGACTCTATAAATGTTTATTCGACTTAGAAGAAATGGAAAAGAAATAATGTTGACATTCTTGAATTTGGAGGCTAGATGTGAGTCCAAGGGCTTCTCATCCCCAAGCTAGGGCACAGATTTAAATTATTTGAATTGAATGGGATTGATCTATGTGGGATTAGGTAGGTGACTTTGTTGACATGTAGTACCCTGGTAGGATGGTGAGTGGGGACATGGAGCCCAGAAAGTCAGTGGTAGTGGTGGGTATTATGAGACATCTGAGAAATGAACTAGATCAATCCTACAGGGAACAGTCATCACTATCAAGGTGAATCAGAAAATCAAAATAGGCCAGGGGGCCAGCAGATGGCATGGCGGTTAAGGTCCTAGACTCCCACATGGCTGACCATGGTTCAAATCCTGGACCTAGTGGCTGGAAAAAGCACTCCAGATGCATGTGCATGCATGCCCAAGATTCCAGGAGGAGAATGGAGAAGAGATTGCTACATGGCCATCGCCCTGGGAGGGGAGTGATTTTTCACTTTCCGTCTCTCTGTCTCTGTCTCCCTCTGGTGAGTGCATGTGCACTTTGGCAAAAACCTAACAAAACGGGCAGAACCAGGAAAGGGCTACCATAGGGCTGGGGTGGGGAGCAGGAAGGAGGTCTGGAGGTTAGAGTCCAAGGTCTGGGGTTGGCCGAAAATGTTGCAATGGTCAACGTTGTAGGAAGAACAAGAAAGATTTTTTCTAGATTTCTCACTACTGTGTTGGCTAACTTTAATTTTTGCTTCCTTGAAAAGTAGAGATTCCCCTTCCCCGCCGGGGTCCTTAAGGACAAGGGAGCAGGCTTCTCGCGAGCTGTAGCAGAGGCAGTCAGGGCATTAGTAGCCACTCTCGGTCTGTTTTTTTTGGAGAGGTTTTTGCTATGGGGCATGTGCACTCGCCAGACAGAGAGAGACAGAGAGACAGAAAGTGAGAAATCACCCACCACGGGGGATGGCCACACCACAGTCCCTTCTCGATTCTCCTTTTGGTATCTTGGGCATGCACACACAAGTGTCCTGTGTGAGTTTTAAGCCACCAGGTCTGGGACTTGAACCACAGTCAACTACATGGGAGTCCAGCAACATAGCCATTACATCAACTGCTGGTCCCCCAGTCTGTTTCTTACAAAGCTGCAGCTGGGAAGATGTCAAGACCTCCCTAGCTGGGCAGAATGCAGACTACCATGTGAACTGCAGAACAGTCATTCTGACCCAAGCAGAGGATATATCAAGCAAAAACATAAAGGCTCTGTCCTAGGTTGTCAAGAAAGTCATGATGCAGTTTTTGCATTGAAAAATATGTTATGACTTTCCCAGCGACCTAGTGGAATGAAGTGGCAGGAGCTTTTGGTTCATTCTAATGAAACTGGAACCTATGTATTGTTTTATCAAATTCAGTACATATCAGCATTTTTTTTTAAAGAGAGATGTTAGGGTGCGTGAGCTCGCCAGAAATAGAGAGACAGAAAGTGAGAAAACACTCCCCACGGGAACCAGCAGTTAGCGTAATGGCTATGTTGCTGGACTCCCACGTAGTCAACCGCGGTTCACGTCCCGGATCCGGTGGCTTAAAACTCACGCCGGGCGCGTGTGCATGCATGCCCAAGATCCCGAGAGGAGAATGGAGGAGAAGGGATTGCAGCATGACCATCCCCCCTGGGGGGTGATTTCTCGCTTTCTGTCTC